GCCCGGGAGCGCTGGGAGTTCGGGCTTCTCCATTGGAGGGGCGGACGGGCGAAGCTCGGAGGAGCTGGCCGAGGGCGGGGGCGCGGAGACTAGGGCCGAGAAGAGGGGGCGCGCAGGAGACCAGGGGAGAGCCGGCGCAGCCCGATGCTGCCGGGAGGAGGGTGGCCCCAGGATGGGAGCCGGGAGGAGAGGGCGTGCACCGCGGTGACTCAGGCTCCTGCCCCCGCAGGCCTGGGGATGCCAGACGAGGCCCTCGACGCAGCCCTAGAACTCCCCTCCGGCCTGAGGAGGCGAAAAACGCTGACCCCGGATGGGGTGTCGGGCACCTGGCGACGCGCGCTTCCACGGCTGGGAAGCGCTGGGGCGGACCCTGGCTGTGAGCTCCGGGATGTCTCGGGCCCCCGGCTCCTGGGGAGCGGAGAGAAGGGACTCCGAGAGGCGGCTGGAGGAGTGGCAGCCTAGGGTTCTTCCGCGAGGACGGGCTGGAGGAGCAGGTGCTGGGTTTGCCTGTGGTTGGTCGCCCACAACAAAGGCAATTCCTAGAGGTCCAAGAGACGGGGTATGGGAGGCCATGCAGGGTCTTATTATCTAGAGGTGGGTTATCTCCTCCGCTAGGCAGTTCCCAAAAATCTTTTAAAGAAGTCACATTTGACATTCATTCGCTCACTCAACACCTACTGTGTGTCTGCGGGCTTTTAGGCGCAGGACACACAGCAGTGAACGAGATAGACCAGTCTGATACTGTTTATGACTAAAAAGGCACCCACGACTTATAAAAAGGCAACAATCCCAGCCCTCCAGGAGTCATGGGAAATATTAAATGACTTGGGACACAGGAAGTGTATAGTGTGTTTGTGAAGAGGGAGTTGAAACTAAAATTTTTTAAGTGCCTAAATGTATCCGTCACCACTGGATACGTCCTGTCTCTTCCTCAGTCTCTGTGATGACTTGCAAGAGACATCACCTTGGGTAAACTGAGTCTCGGTCCTGCCGCTGTGGTCTCTGGTCTGCTGGCCTTGCTCTAAGGGGAAAGATGCACTCCCTCTCCCCCACTTGGAAGCAGAGGCCCCAGTGCTGATGGGGTGCCAGATGAGGCCATGAGCTGGGGGATTCCTTCACTCATTATGGCCTTCACTTGTGCCAGGCCCAGGGACACAAAGAGAAAGGAAGACGCAGACCTGGTCTTCACAGGCTCCTAAGTATGGTTCTTTCAGAGATTACGAAGGTAACCCATGTTCGGGGCTGCCCACCGTGAGCCACTTTGGTAAACGTCTTTCCAGTTTCTTTCTATGTGTATAAATAGAACGATTTTATTTGTTACCAAAAGAAAGCTATTGAAGCCACCTGGAGCCCTTTTTAATAACCTCTGGCTCTCCTCTCCTTGCCCACATCCTGCGCAGCTCCAGGACTGGCTCCAAGCTCCACAGTGCCGAAGCATTCCCCACTCACCATCTGATCCTGGCAGTCACCCTATGACAATGAAGCTTCACTTTGCAGAAGAAGAAAAGGAGACTCAGAGTCAAGAGTCTCACCTAAGGCCATTCGTTCATTCGTTTTCTTACCCACTTTAGATAGCGCTGACTGAGCCAGTCCTGAGTGCCTGGCCCTGCGCTGAGGATAAAGGTTTGAAAAGACATAACGCAGCCCTGACGGGGTTCATCCCCCTCCCCCCTTCCTAGGAGCTCTACTGGGTCTGCTGTAGGAAAGGAGGAAACAGCGGCAACCCAAAGCCACATCGTGACCTTCATGGGCCCCGGGTACTTTTGCTTCCATGGGCGTCTTCCTCTGCACAAAGAAAAAAGGATTTAATAAGACTTTGAGGGCCTTACAAAAATTTTTTTTTTCTGATGGGAAGAAAAATAATACATTTTCTTTGACCCTTAAAGCTCACTTTGTTTTCTGATTTCAAAATAAAACGTTTTCAAGCACCCCTAAAAGTATAGTGGGCTCTAGGCACTGTGCCCAGTGCCCAGTGGTTAGATGACCTTGATTGCAATACGAATGATAAGCGCTAAGAGAGAGGCCAACCTGGGAGGACTTCCGAGGGAAGGTATTGCTTCAGTGACCAACTCTTGAAAGATAAGTGTTGCCAAGAGGACAGAGGAGCAAGGGCTTTTCATGCGGAGGCCAGGGAAGCTCTGGGGAAAGGGAAGTTTCTGGGAGAGGCAGAAGAAGAAAGGGAAATGAGCAGGGGCAAGAGCCTTGGGTGCCACGCTGGGCGTCCTGAAGGCATGGGGAATACCTGGCACCAGTGCGCAGGGTGTTCAGGAGGCAGCCCTGAGAACACAAGGGAGGAAGGGAGAGAAGAAAGACTGGATGCTGCTTGAGCAATCCACACCATTGAGAACGACTTGAAGGCGGCAGCAGCAGGGCCCGTGGAGTGGAGGCCCGAGATGTGAGCAGGGCCACAGCACATCGTGGTGCAATCTTCACCGCACACCAGGGGCGCTAGAGAAGGCAGGGGGTGAAATGCCACCTGTGCCCCAGCTGAGCCATGCAGCCTTGTGTCTGCCAGGGGGAGAGGATACCTGTTCTCACCAAGGAGCTATCTATTAGCTGCTTCCTGTACCTGGATCTGAACATGTACCTGAACATGTACCTGAAAGCTGCTTCCGCCCAGAGAGAGCATCTTTTCCTAATTTTCTAGCCCAAGGGGCCCTTTTAAGTAATTTCTAACAAAGGCCCCTGAGAGGCTCGCAGTGGTCCTAGATGGAGCCATATTAAGAGGGTAGAATCTACAAGACACGGTGCCTAATTGTGATGATCAGAGAAAGGCCGGGCTAACTCCCAAGTATCAGGATTGGAGGGACAGGGATATAAAAAAAGAAATAGATTTGGGGAGGGTGGAGACAGAATGAGGTCACGAGCTGGAAACTTTGGAGCCTGTATCAAACCCAGAACTCCTCATTTTTGCACCCCGCCTCTCCCCGCTCCATTCTCTGACTCAGGTTCTTAGTCCACCGCCTGGTGTCTCCAGCACCGTGGGCTCCTCAGGGTGGCTGTTCCCTGCCTGCAAGGGCCAGAGTCTCCAGGTGGAATCAGAGCCGACATCCCAGTGCATCAGCGGCTCCTCGGGCAGTCCCCTTAAAGAAAGGGCCTCGCTGATGTCTAGAACGGAGAAACTGTGAAAAGTCTTCCTAAAGGAAGTTTTTAGGGTAGTATATACAAAAACCTTACTAGACCCAAATATGCCCCAAATTCTGAATTCTACTTTCCAGTCTGTCTCTCAGACTGTCCAAGGGACTGTGCCTGTAGATTGTAAATTAAATCGTCCCTGTAAAATTCCAAAGGAATTCCAAACCTAAAAATGATGTCCAGGCATAAGCCAAAACTTCGAACTTTGTGCGTGTCAGGCGGGTGGGGAGAGGGAAGGGAGGAATTTCAACCCCAGTGACTTAAGTTTGAAAGTAAAGTAGCCAGTAGCATTTTTGTTTTTAGAAAAGAGAAAACTGGCAAGTCGTTTCCCAGCATTAATTTAATCTACTGTCCAGAGCAGGTGAATAGGGTGTGACATCCCAAGAGGTACAGTCACAGATGGGAAAAGAGGTCGTTTGTCCAAAAACACAGCTAGTATTTGATGAAGAGATGACTTGACCCCCAACCTGCCAATCTCCAAATCCTTGACACTTAAAAACACTTTGTTAAATTATAAACTATTTCAAACATACAGAAAAACCTGTTATATTTGTACACATATATACTCATACCTCTCATCTTTAACAGATCTCAACATTTTGACTTATATGCTATGTAACGTTTTTTAAGAAATAAAATATCAGAGACAGTCGATGCTCCTTCACAAGACTTTTTGCCCCATTCTCCCTCTCTTCCCAAGTGACCCCTTCCTGAAGCTGGTGCTTATCATTCGCGTACTGATACTTTCACTGCCCACGTATGTATAAACAATAGAAGTTAATGACTTTTTATAAATCGACTTTCATGTGTTTAAGCTTTAAATAGATGGAATCGCTTGTTAATTAAATAAAGAGGGTACGAGACTGAGGTGGCTCTAATGCTACAGCACCCACTAAGCAAAACAGAATCTAAACCCGTGAATACTTCAAGGTTACAAAGTAGAACCTAAGGACAACAATCACGATCAGCCAACTAGGGTTTAAGCTATAGTCAATCAATCAATTCTTCATAGTACTCCCCCCTTATCCTCAAGGCATACGTTCCAAGATGCCAAGCAGATGCCTGAAACTGAGGATAATACCAAACCCTATATATACTATGTTTTTCTCTATACGTACATATCTATGATAAAGTTTAATTTATAAATTAGGCATAGTAAGAGATTAACAATAATAACGAATGATAAAATAGAATAATAGACCAATATATTGTAATAAGAGCTATATGAATGCAGTCTCTGTCTCTTACTCTCTAATTATCTTATTGTACTGTACATACAGCATGAATCCACTAGACAAAAGGGACGATTTACATTCCAGGCAGGAGAGAATAGGACAGTGCAAAATTTCATCACACTACTCAGAACAGCATGCAAGTTAAAACTTACGAATTGTTTATTTCTGGAATTTTACATTTAATATTTTTAAACCACAGCTGACTGTAGATAACTGAAACCACACAAAGTGAAACTGGATAAGTACTTTGCTTCCACATTTTCTCTATAAAAAAAAATTTTTACTCAGATACAGTGAATGGAGCACTTCAAACCACTTCTGATTTGGTGGCTGCCTGATTCCAATTGATTTTTGCTCAAATAAACTTCTACACTTTTAATATGCCTCAACTTATCATTTAATAGATCTGGTGTCAGAAGTGGGATCTAAAAGAGACCTTCCACCCCCAAAGAGCCCCTAGGAGCAACATGAGACTCGCCAAGGTACCCACCGAGCCCCTCGATCTCACTGCATCTGAAGGTCACGGGTAAGTCCCTCTTGGATCTAAGCTCTGCAGTTTTTGAATTTAAAAAAGCTTTCTTAATCTATTTGGGCATTCCTTTCTCTGGACTAGGTCTGGGGTTGGCCAACTTACAAGAAATTGGACAGGGTCCAGAGTTGGACTGAGTCTGACTTAAAATGGACTTGATCCAGTGTAAGGCCTCAGGTAATAAGGAGAGAAAAAAAATGGGTTCCTCTCAATCCAAACAATCTGGGACTCCTCCATCTGGGACGCCAACAATATGTATAAAAATTGTGGGCCCATAACTGTGTTTTTCTGAACTAGTGGGGTAACCTTACCAAAGAGAATTTTCCTTTTTCTTTTATTTATGCCTACAGCACCTGGTCTTCTTAGGTGGTCTCCCATCCAAGTACTAACCAGGCCTGACACTGCTTAGCTTTCAAGATTGGACATCGGGCTTGTTCAGGGTGGCACAGCTGTAGACCGTGGACCGTGGCTCCACTGCGGCACGAATCCAGGACCTTCTGTGTGTAAAGCAGACGTGCTAACTGCTACACTATGGAACCACTTCCACCAAAGAGAATTTTAAATGACAGTGGCCATAGCAGGGAACTTTTAACCTAGATAAACTTACCCACTTATGAGGAGCTCTAGAGAAAAAAAAAGGTGCTGAATTTCCTCCCAAACAATGGGATGCATTTTTTATGGGTACACAGAAGCTTTTAAGAAACTAAGTGAAGCAAAAATTGCCTCTTTAAAAGATTCTTTACAAAAAGCAGATGAAAAGCTTCAGTAGCAAGCTGATGGTGAATCTAAACATGAGTGTGCTTTCACTAACTTGACTCCGCTCTGATTGCTCCCTCCCATTCCCCTCGCAGGGTAAGTATTCTGAACGTACGAATCCTTTTACGTCATTGCCTTTTCACTCTGAAGATGAGCCGGAAATTAAACAAATGCCTTTTAAAGTGAGACCCTCCCCTGAGCCTGGAATACCAGGTGTAACTATCTTTCCTCCTTGGTCAATGGCTGAGCTTAGGGCCATCATCAAAGGTTTTCCAAAACCTAAAGAGAATCCTCAAACATTTTATGAGGAACTTAGAATTCTAATTGGAGCTTATGATCCAGGACTTCGTGTCTCTAACAACTTATTCATATGACATTAGGACCTGGCAACTCCCAAAAATGGATGGCCGAAGCCAAATGGGGAGATCCCGAGGTCGATATTAAAGACCCACATACTCATCACTCTGCCAGGGATGGCCCAAAACACACTGGAAAAGTAGCCCAAGACCCACCTGAAGATATTGGAAAGGCATTCCCTCAAAAAACTGACTGATCTATCATTCAATCTCACAAACAAACAAACAAACAAAAAAAGCATGAACCAGCCTCAGACTATAAGCCATGATTGGAAACCCTTTTTGTGAAACATTCTGGGCTTTCTTGATTGAACACAAGCACAGAAAACACCTTAGCTTCTTTATCCATTAGCAGACTCCAGCCTGAACTAAGCATCCTCATAAGGAGGCGCAAGCTGGGCTGAGAAGCCACCCCACTTGCTGAATGAACAGCCCTCGCTGAGCATTTTGAAAAAAAAAACTTGGAGCGAAATCAAATTCAAACAGCCAATAAGCGTGTGGCCCTGCAGTTACAACAGCTCCAAGGGCCAAGAGGACCTTCGCATGCATTTCAAGCCAGAACCCAGAGGTCCCTCACTCAGGACACCTGCACCCAAAATGGCTGCTTTCACTGTCAACGGAAACAACCAGGTAGGGCACTGGAAAAAGGAATGCCCCCTGCTGGACTCATCATTTAATAGACCTCCCCTCATTATCCAGACTGTTTTTCCATCCGGGGAAGTCTTAAAACACTTGATTACCGAAATAATAATAAGCATCAATAGGGTTCTAAGGGACCGCCAGTAAATTGCTTCCCATGATACCTTTAAACGAGCAAGGGGAAACTAAGATAAAAATTAATGGAGAACCCAGTACAGTGTTGGTGGATACTGGAGCCACTTTATCTGCATTAAATCCCACTTTCGTAAAACAGCAAATCCCTCAGAGTAAAGAGAATATTTCTGTAGTGGGAGTTCCTAACCAAATCCAAAGGGCACCTGTGTCTAAACCAGTCCAGATGACATCAAGGCCATTTTTGAGAAAGCATACTTTCCTTCTGCGTAACACAGTAAACCTGTTAGGATGAGATTTGCTTTCTAAATTGAGAAGTCACATAAAATTTAACTCAGGAGATGTAAAAGATCTTAGAACTTCCGTAAAAAAAGATAGATAGTAGATAGATAGATGAGAAAGAGAGAGAGAGAGAGAGAGAGAGAGAGAGAGAGAGAGAGAGAGAGAGAATTTCCTGACCCTCTGCTCTGCTCTCTGCAAGCAGGAATTGATGAAATTGAACCCAACAGTATGAAAGCTCTGATCTCCCAGAAAGGCCTGAATGCTATGGGCTTCTTCCTC